CTTTTCCTGACTCAAGAGGCACCAGTTGCCCATGAGAAGAGGAGGAGGAGCTGAGCAGCAGCCAGGCAGCTGCAACCATACTGGGAGCAGCCCTGCTGGAAAACTGTGCACGCTGGCTGAGTGTACTTTGCAGGCTGCCCCAGGCAGGAGCAGGCTGGGCTAAGCCCATGCAGAGTGTTTTGGGGGCAGCTGCAGGCCATATGGTGGGGTCAGGGTGGTATAAATCTCACCTGCATGGTCCAGGCGAGGTCTGGTGCACATGCTCCCTGCCCCTTCCTCCCTTCTCCCCCAGCTGGCTCCTGGGACTTAGCGTGTAGGCAGCCCCCCCCACACACATGCGCATAGCCCTCTCCCCAACAGACACCCACATGCATGCACACCCCCATGCACTCGGCCTCTACCCCCCACAGTATACAAGAGTAAGAGTATTTTGAGCCATTATACAATCATCTCTATATATGCTACTCAGAAAAACAAATGGGGACAAAAATATTTTTTGAAATAAAATGTTATAGTAGATGTAGATTTTTAGTATACGGTTTGAATTTTTTATCAATAATTTGTTAAAATGATATATTCTGAAAGATTATATGCATGTGGCCCTTGACAGCCCACCTAAACTTGTTAAGTAGCCCTTCAGCAAAATTAATTGCCTACCCCTGTGCTACATGCAGCCCCAGTGCTGCCAGTTTTATAGTCCTGATGTAATAGAGATATTTCCAATTTGTTCTTTCTGTTTCAGGTTAAAAGCAGATTTTACGTAGGTAAGTTAACATTGCTTCTTGTTTCGGTCTTTAAGTTAATTTTTAATTATTTTCTGTTAATTTATAACAATTTGAATACTGTAACATGGACCTGCTGTTCTTTTTAGGAAGGGAAAAACAGCTTGCCAGTGAAGTTGCTGAACTAGTTGAAGAAAAGTGCGAAGTGCTTGAAAAACTTAGCCTCCACAAGAAAGAGGTAACTTTCTGTATTATCATTCTCTATCTCCACATAATATTTTCACGGACTGAATCTTTTGGTGTTTTATTAAATTTTTTTTTTAAATCTCCTGTGTTTATTCTCATATCATTCTGTTTTTCTTAGTTCAGATTATTTGAAATGTGATGCAGTTGTTAAAACATTCTGCTTTTAAATCCCAATGCAGTATGCTGCACTGGAAATCTGCTCCTGAATTACCTTTGTTTTATTGTTCTCTGTGGTAAGGAACCAGCTGTAGGAGATTCAGAAAATCCTACTTGTTGCCTACTTAAAAATTAGGCCCTTAGTGTTTTTCTGTATTGCAATTTAGTTTAATGTTTTAGGTAATTTCTGATCTTGCATAAATTCTGATGCAATGTATCCCTTTCAGTATGAAGACTTAGAATTATCGTTAAAAAATGCCAACCTAAAAGAATCCACCGATACAACATGTATTGAGGTAAGAAGACGAAAGAAAATAATTTTCAGAGAGATAGCTTTAGGTGTTGAGAAAAGTGTCCTTTTTTAAACAGTGGCCTCTTTTACTTCAGGGTTTCCCAAAGCATCACTGAAGTGAGGGGGTTGGAGAAAAAAATATTTGGTGAATGAAGTAAGAGTTGCTCAGCTATGTAGAGAGGCAAATTATAGAACAAATTGGTCATGCATACATTTAGTTTTGGAGCAAATAATTATGAAAGCACACTACTTTCCATAGGTGATGCCTTGCAAAAAGAGTTGTCCTTGGAACATATGCAAAATCTATGATACTTTACAATAAATATTGCATAAATAAAAAACAGCCAATAGTTTTAAATTAAAAATGCACATTCATATAGTGTTAAAGTACCAGCTACTTTTCACATTGCTGTAATCAAGAAATTAATCATTTTTTAGATCTGCTAAATCAGGAATTTACTCTCAGAAGGGCTTCTAAAGAAGTTAGTCTATAAACATTGCATGAGCTCTTTTAAGTAACATTGACTTTGAGTACTTGAAGTTAGTGGTCTCTGGTTGGACAAAAGTATGTTTTTGAAATGGGAGGTTTACTTTTTACTTGAAGTACAGTCTTAGTGCATCCTTAACTGTTGTTTTTTTCAGAAACAGGTTCTACTCATTGATATTTACTTAAGAGCCATACATGTTTTTTATATTTTAACTATCAAAATGCTTTATCTTAGGAAACCTATGAAAAACTGAACAGGTCAAACTTGGTGCTCAAGCATGAAATAGAGAATTTAGAAAAAGAGCTAGAAAAAGAAAAATCTAAGCGATCAGAACAGGATGAAATGGTAAGGATACATTTTTATTTTAAAATCTTTCAAATTTCTGCTTTAAAAGTGTAACCATATTTTGCACAAATATCAGCCATATAATTTCTCTGGTGAAGAAGGCACCTTTTACTTAAAAATATATTAAGTGTGTGTCCCCACCTCCTTTTTTAATTAAAAAGAATTAAATGGATAACACTAAGTAGTCAAGGCTCAGGAGTGAACACGTGGGTATTTAGAAGTTAACAGCGGAACTCTATTGAATATTCCAATCAGTTAAGTTAAAGGGTTACTGTTAGGTCAGAAAGTAATTTAAGGAAAGAAAAAAAAAGAAAAAGAAAAGAATAGCTTTCTTTTCTCCCTGCAATTTTTTTATTGCTTCCAATTATGTTTTAAAATTCTAGAAATCATAAGACTTCCTCTGGTTATATTTGTTTTTTATTTAGAAAGCAAAACTGTCTCTTAGAAAAGGAATAATATTTTTGTAGGAATTAAAAAGTAATGTGTTTGGCTCATTGTCAAGAATTATCCTAATTTCCCCATTATCCATGCTCTTCCCTACATTGTTGTGCTCTTTACCACTGATGACAATAAGCAACTTCCTTCTGTCCAGCATTTCAAAGTAGAAGGCCAGTCTTGTTTGACACTGTATAGATCAGTGGTTCTCAACCTTTTTTGGACTCAAGGCTCCCCCTCAATTCCAACCTGCACCCCTGCCCCTGCCCTGCTGTGCTCCTCACTCCTAACTCACAGCCCTGTGGCCCTGCTAGTGTCCCTCATTCCCGACTTCTAGCCCCCCCCCAAACGGAGGATGGAACCAAGTCAACATGGCACGTGGTGACCTGTGGCGTCCCCCAGGGTTCAGTACTCGGACCAGTACTCTTTAATATATTCATAAATGATCTGGATTTGGGTGTCAGAAGCAGACTGGCTAAGTTTGCAGACGACACCAAATTATGGGGAAGGTACAGTCATGCTAGAGGATAGGCTGGCAATTCAGGCTGACCTGGACAGGCTCACAAGGTAGGTGAATCAAAACCTGATGACATTCAACACAGAGAATTGTAAGGTGCTCCACCTCAGTAGCAAAAACTCGCATCATATTTATAGGCTTGGCAGTTCTAGGCTCACTGGCACCATGGCCATAAGAGACTTGGGGGTCATGATTGACCACATGACGAATATGAGCCACCAATGCGATGCCACAGCCGGCAAAGCAAATAAAACTCTGGCTTACATCTACCAATGCATCTCAAACAAGACCCTCAATCATCCTTCTGCTTTGCTCAGCCTTGGTGAGGCCGCAGCTGGAGCACGGCATCCAGTTCTGGGCTCCACACTTTAGAAAAGACACGGAGAAGTTTTCGAGAGTCCAGAGGAGAGCCATGCTCATGATTAGAGGTCAAGAGAACAGGCCTTATGAGGGGAGGCTGAGGGACATGGGACTTCTTCAGCCTGGAGAAGTGAAGGCTCAGGGGTGACTTGGTGGCGGTCTATAAGTATATAAGGGATGTGCATCAGGAACTGGAAGAACGTCTGTTCATCAGGGTATCCCAAGGGAAGACAAGGTCCAACTGTCACAAACTGCTGGAAGACTGTTTTAGACTGGACATAAGGGAAAAGTTCTTTATCGTCCAGGTCTCCAGAGTCTTGAATAGACTCCCCCCAGAAGTGGTGCAAGCACCTACTTGGGATACCTTTAAGAAATGCTTGGATGCTTATGTTGCTGGGGTGATCTGATCCCAGCCGACTTCCTTCCCCTTTGGCAGGGTGCTGGGCCTGATGATCTCACACGGTCTCTTCTTGCCCAGAAGACTGTGAAATCTAACCCCCCAACCCTCGCAGTGTGTGTGGCAGGGGGTGGGTAGGCACATTGGTTCTAGCACGTACTGTCCACTGTCCAACTTCCCATTCATGAACAAGATCCTGGAACTTAAAACAAACTGGTACCTAGCTACTGCTACTTGAAGGTGATTCAGGCTCAGTATATTCTGATTTTGTGATAGTTTATACTGAAACAGCTATGGTGGCACTGATGGATAATCTTTTCCTGTCACTAGGCAGACAGTGGGCATCCATTTGGACCTCATTAGTATTGGATCATGGCTTACTGCTATTTTGCCTTTTTTTTTTCTTTTTTAAATATTGTTCCTCAAATGGAACCTGACATGTAATAATCAGGAACTGAATTTTCATCTCCCAGGCCAGTTTTCTATCTGTTTTTTTTTTTTTCAAAATCTATATGCAGCCACTAGGTGAATAGGCCAGATGACTGCTAGTACCACTTTCACGTGTTATACTGATAAAACAGTTCTATATACTGTGTGCCACAACTACCACAATGAGTCTAATGTTTAGGAAAGACCATTTTGTAGGTGAATGAATACTGAATGTGAGCAAGACAGAGATGATGTTGCAGGTCAGAAAATGGTATTTGGAAGAGTTTGCAACTGAAGTACAGGCTTCCCTCTCTTTATGCTGTGCATACATTCCCAGAGAACAGCATGTAAATCAAACTTGCATAAAGCAAACCCACTTTACCATGTAACAAATAGGGATAGATTCCCATGGCAGTGAGGGAGGGAGTAAGGCTGGGACTGGGGAAGGGGCAGCAGGAGGGGTGCCGCTCCTGGGGCTGTACAGGGTAGCAAAGCAGAGGAAATAGAGTGTTGCTCACCCCAGGCCCGGCTTCAGCGGCCCCAGGAGCAGCCGGTGCCAGCTGCCTGCAGCCACTGGGTTGCATGGTGCTCTGCCTGTTCCCAGTCACCTCTGCTCTTGGGCTGCGCCATGCCCCGGTGCAGGCAGCTGGTATCTGCTGCTCCCAGGGCCTCAATTCCTGTAGGACTCTCAATTCCTGTAGAATTTCAAATAAATCTCGTGGGGCACGTCCAGACAACCATGCATGTGTGGTATGTGGTGCTGCAGACCTGTCTCCAGCACTGCAAACTGCATGTGCTGCACACATAGGCGTTCACTGCACTGCTAATTTGCAGTGCAGCGGGGGGTTTTGACAGTGGGAGATCCCAGTGAAACAGAAGAAAATGGAGTGGTGAATTCTGTGAATGCTTTCAGTCTTTAACTACTATAAAGGAATAATAGAGGCCCCACTCAGTATGCCTTCTAAATGGCTTGCATGTAGAGAATCCTTTCTTGGAGCACTTTTAGGAAAGTGGATTTCTTATTTTAATTATCCTCCATTATTACAGAGACTGCCAATGGATCTGACATGTATATTGTAAACGTTGTAAATATAGAGTATATATTACAAGGCAAATAAGATATTAATTAGACTATCATCAGAAGTCACTGAAGCATAAATAAATAAATATGCCTTAAGGATATCATTATTGCTTAACCTGCAAAAACAATCCACTTGATTTAAAAAGGAAATATTTCTGAGGCATATATTCTAGTCAAATTTTGCCTATACAGTTAAGGTAAGTTTGGCTAAAAAGTGGCAGCTAATAAGACCTTTTATAAAAACTATTATTATAACTTTGCAGATAACTGAAATGGAGAGAAGAATAGAGTCTTTAGAAAATGAAGCAAAATCTATCCAAACACAAGTGGCTGAAGTAAGTCCAATCTCAGTATTTCTCTGTTAACAATTATATAAATTTATTAAGAAAACACTGAATTTAATGTTTTCAGATGATATAACAACAGCTTTACATGTTAGTCAGTACTCTGTTTGTGCAGCCCAGTGCTTCTGCTTAATACATTATGCCTGGTAGTTGATTCATTTTACAAAAGAGAAGCGTGATGGTTACCATTCATTGGAAAGCAAAATTACTCTGTCGTCTTGTAACATAAAACATACTTGACCACAAAACCTTTGTTTAAGCAAAAACAGGCTGTTGAAATTGTTAGTAATTACTGAACTATACAAGTAGTAGTTCAAAGTATTATTGTAAATTTGCTTCTTACACTTTTTTATACTTGTTCACCACCTTCTGTTTCCTATAGGCCAAGACCACCTTAAAAGTATTTCATATTAATACAGAGAGGCTCAAGACATCTGTCCAGGATGCAGTAGAGGAAAACAACCATCTCCAGGAAAGTGAAAAACAGGTACATTGTTCCTTTCATATATAACGTTATCTGAGCATGACATTTTCCAGGCAACTAAAGGCCTAGACCCTGTTCCAAGGCATTATTATCAAATTGTATGCAACAGAATTATTCAACAAGATAAATGCAACTGGAGGAGAGCATTGCTTAAGTGTATATTCTCCTCCCCCTCCCCTCCCAGCCCAAGATCATGATTCTTAAGAATGTTTTCCATAGACATCAGGGCTGGAAGGGACCTCGGAAGATCATCGAGTCCAGCCCCCCGCCCAAAGGGCAGAAAGTCAGCTGGGGTCATAGGATCCCAGCAAGATAAGCATCCAGTTTCATCTTGAAGGTGTTCAATGAAGGCGCTTGAACCACCTCCGGTGGCAGGCTGTTCCAGACCTTGGGGGCTCGGACAGTAAAGAAGTTCTTCCTTATGTCCAGCCTGAAACGGTCTTGAAGTAGTTTGTGACCATTCGACCTCGTCATCCCTTGGGGCGCTCTGGTGAACAAACGTTCCCCCAGATGCTGGTGGTCACCCCTGATAAACTTGTAGGTGGCCATCAGATCACCCCTGAGCCTGCGCTTTTTCAGGCTAAAGAGCCCCAGGGCTCTCAGCCTGTCATCGTAGGGTCTGCTTCCCTGACCTCTGATCATGCGCGTGGCTCTTCTCTGGACTCTCTCAAGCTTCTCCACATCCTTTTTGAATTGTGGAGCCCAAAACTGGACACAGTACTCCAGCTGCGGCCTCACTAAGGCCGAGTACAGGGGGAGAATGACGTCCCGGGATTTGCTTGAGAAGCATCTATGGATGCAAGCCAGCGTTTTGGTCGCTTTACTAGCCGCCGCATCGCATTGCAGGCTCATGTTCATCTTGTGGTCAATGATGACCCCCAAGTCTCTTTCTTCCATAGTGCTAGCCAACATAGCACTGCCGAGCCTATAAGGATGCTGCGGGTTTTTTTTCCCAAGGTGGAGAACCTTGCATTTATCGGCGTTGAACACCATCAGATTCTCGTCCGCCCACTTGCTGAGCCTGTCCAGGTCAGCCTGGATAACCTGCCTGTCTTCTGGTGTGGATGCTTTGCCCCAAAGTTTGGTGTCATCGGCGAACTTGGCCAGTTCTGATCGCTTCTGACTCCAGTGTCCACATCATTAATGAAGATGTTGAACAGTATGGGTCCAAGGACAGAGCCTTGGGGGACCCCACTGGTCACAGGACACCACGATGAGTGACTTCCATCGATTACTACCCTCTGGGTCCGACCCCGGAGCCAATTTTCCAGCCAGTGGATCGTGGAGGACCCAAGGCGACAATTGGCCAGTTTCTCCAAGAGGCGATCATGGGACACCAGATCGAAGGCTTTTTTGAAGTCAAGATATATGACATCAATCTCTTCTCCCTTGTCCAGGTGATAGGTCACCTGGTCGTAGAAGGAAATGAGATTGGTCAAGCAAGACCTACCCGCAACAAACCCGTGCTGGCTATCCCTTAAGATGTTGGCGTCGGCCAGTCCATTAAGGATGGCCTCTTTAATAAACTTTTCTAAGATCTTCCCCGGGATAGAAGTCAGGCTGATGGGCCTATAGTTAGCCGGATCCACTTTCCTCCCTTTCTTGAAGATAGGCACCACATTGGCCTTCTTCCAGTCTTCGGGCACTACACCAGAGCGCCAAGAGTTTTCAAAGATCCGTGCTAGAGGCTGGGCTATGATGCTCGCCCGCTCCTTGAGTACCCTGGGGTGAAGATTGTCAGGGCCAGCTGAGTTGAAGGTATCCAGCTTCTCAAGATGTTCCTTCACAAAGTCAGCATTAATGGAGGGCAGGGGATCACCCTCACCCGGACTTCCTGGCCCTGTAGCGGGCATGGGCGTCCCATGGGACTGATGAAAGACCGACGCAAAGTACCTATTTAATAGGTTGGCTTTTTCCTGGGCGTCAGTTGTCAGTTGCCCCATCTGATTCAGCAGGGGTCCAATGTTGCCCCTGCTTTTCCTCCGGCTCCCCACATATCTGAAAAAGGACTTTTTATTGTCCTTGATGCTCAAAGCTAGCTGGAGTTCAGTTGCAGCCTTGGCTTTCCTGGTCTGCTCCCTACAGGACCGGACCAGTGCAGAATAATCCTCCTTGGAGGTGACTCCCATCCTTTGTAGGCCTTTCTTTTTAGCCTCAGGAGGTCTGCTAGGTCCCTGGAGAGCCAGGGGGGCTGCTGTGCCCTCTTGCTGCCTTTCCTCCGAGATGGAATAGACTTAGTTTGTGCATTGAGGATCGCTCCCTTGAGGAGCAACCACTCCTCTTGAACTCCCCTCTCCCTGTGGTCACGGTCCCTTAGGGCCTCACTGACAAGCCTCCTGAGCTTGTCAAAGTCGGCTTTCCTGAAGTCAAAGACTTGCGCGTTGCTGACCGACTTGCCAGCTTTTCGGCGGATGGTGAAGGTGATCAGCTCGTGGTCGCTGTCACCCAGCTTCCCATTGATCACTAGGTCGCCGACTAGGTCATCCCCAGTAGCCAGTACCAGGTTGAGCAGTTTTGTTAGTTCATGATAATTTTATTTAAAAAAATCAAACCTTGAACCACTTTAAAAAAATCCTTTATGGAATGTCTGTATTTGATCAGGATTCTGACTGAATTTTGGTAAGGAACGATACATAGAGAGGGATGAAAAAAGCGCTAACAGTGAGTCTCAGCCAGGGTGCATTGACACCCAGCAGTGCTGCCTAAATTCTTTGAAGGGTTTTGTGAAGTGATAAGGGAGGTGTGAGGAGATAAGGGGAGGCTCAAGCTTGTCTGTGCCTTGCCATTCCTCCCACCCCCACTGCCTGGCCCCTCAGCAAGGAGGTGTGCACTATACTATAATATATAATTTAGGTTTTGAAAGTAACGCTACTCCATTCACAGAAGTTATGAAGGGGTGCCTTGGGTGCAGAAAGGTTAAGAAACACTGCACTAACATGTTTATTGAGAGAGATATAAAGGTGGTGGATATTTTGCTGAATGAAAGGAGGTATAGAGAAATGGGTAAAGGGATTTAGGCAAATACATAGCTGAGAACTCCACAAAAATGAGGAGCAGAACCTTGATCCAAAAAGCAAAAAAGAAGTTAATAAAAATGGTATGTAGTTTGGGAGGCAGGTGAGAGAAACTGGTAATGGTTATGATAGTGTTTTGGATGGGCCCTGCACCTCTGGCTGCTGACGGGCAAAACTCATGAAATGGGTGCTTGTGCAACTGACTCTCTCTGTCTTGGGGCAGTTGATTGGCTGTATTGATTGTTTCTTCTCCTTAGTCTGTGTTTTTGTAGGTGTTAATTGTTGCTAATTAACTGGCTACATTAGCTATCTACTGTGTATTTAGCTGGTCCCTGAGTTGCACAAGCATCTGTGTCATGAATTTTGCCTGTCAGCAGGTAGAGATGCAGGGCCCCAAAACCCCCCTACACCTATCTCCTCGACAGCTGGCAGGCTTTGTGGCCGCAGCAGGGGCTAGCATCCGTGCAGTTTTCACCCTGGTGTGCCTTAACACACACAGTTTCACCCATGTCACGAGTTTTGTTTGTCCACAGCTTGAGGTGTAGTTCCCCCAAGCCCCTGCACCTATCTCCTTGAAATGTGGCAGGCTTCGTGGCCTGAGCAGGGGCCACCACCCCTTCAGTTTTCAGCCCGCTGCGCCTTGGCGCACACAGGGTCATCTGTGTCACAAGTTTTGCCTGTCAGCAGCTTGAGGTGCAGTTCCCCCCCAAACCCCTGCACTGATCTTCTTGAAACCTGACAGGCTTTGTGGCCTCACCAGGGGCCACCACCCCTGCAGTTTTCACCCCCCTGTGGTGTAACACATACACGTGACGTGAGTTTTGCTTTCAAAAATTGGGGGGTGCACTTCCCCCCAAACCCCTACACTGATCTTCTTTAAACTTGGTAGGCTTCATGCTCTCAGCAGAGGCTACCACCCCTGAAAGTTTCATCCAAATCAGACAAAAAACAACAAAGTTATAGATATTTCACTGATTCCCCAGTAATACCCTATGGCCGGATCTCCAAGGTGGCTTCAGAGCCATTTCAGCCAGATCGAAGCGAAAACCTGGTTCGGAGCTCCAGATCGGATCACTGGCATCATGCACAGATCAAGGGAGTATGTGCCGCCCAGGCCTCTGCCAGGGTGTGCATAGCGGCAGGAACCCCCCTGCGTGCCTGGACAAGTTGCCCAGGCTCTGATTGTCCCACAACCTGGCCCAGCTGGGGCCCCTTTCACCACAGCCCCTGCCTCTGGGCGCCCCCCCGCCAACCCTTTCCGCCTAGCAGAATAGACTGATGATATTTGACTGCTGCTCTGGGCAGCCAGTGATCTACACAAGGGGCTGCAATCCTGGCTGCATGTGCACCCCTCCCCCCAGCTGTAGCCACCTGGAGCCTGCAGCTGGGCTGCCCTGAGGCTCTGTGCGCTGCTCTGCATTTGGGGGTGCTGAGCCCCATTAGCCCCAGCCTTCCTCTGCCTATGAGCTGCATTTTCTTTTTGGCTTAAGTCCATTCCTGTGGTACTTTATTTCTAACAAGCCTTTTCCTGTACTTGAAATAGTGCACTAAAGTCAGAGAAGCAGTGCCCAAATTAAAAACTTGTGACCAGAACCTGTCTCTTTATGACATTAACTAGTTCTACTTTTTTAACCCAGAAGAAATATAAATGGGAAAGATATATTTTGCTTTCTCTCACTATTAAAAGTAAGGCTTTTTTTTTTTTTTTTTTTTTTTTGAACAAGGCAATGCTGCTAAATGCTGAAAATCACTTAGTTTGATTGCATCAAAAGGCTAAATAGGTTTTCCCCAGAGTTTCCAAAAGGTGGTAGTTTGCTTACCCCATTTTAGATGAATGGCTTTTCATGATAAGCTTTTTGAAATTCTTTCTGGCTAAAACAGAGTAACAGTGTTCTAAACCAGGGCATCTTGTGTACTTTGGGCTGGTGTTGGAATGTTTAATTCCTCTCTCTCTTTTTAATGAGTGAAACAAGTGTTTTGAAACACAGA